CAACAGATCTGAGGCCACTTCAGGTACTCAAACACATATGTCCAAGAGCAAGGTACCCTGGATAGAAAATTGGGACCTATGGTTAGGAGTCCCAAATGATCAAAATGGTACGTAACTAAGTAGGTACGCAATGAGAGAGCAAATAAATACCTGAATGAGCGAGAAGTTAAGGAACTACGTTTATACGTAATAATGCAGTCAGAAAGTGTTGCAGTAAACGGCAGGGCATATGAATCGATTAATAGAGTGATTTGCAAGCGAAAATGCAATAAAATTAGTATGAAAACAATCCAGATAAAACTGTGATGCTGATAGCGCAGCAATGCTTAAATACCATAGACGTGTGTCACCGAGGGCACCTGAAAGGAAGAGATATACATAGTACACAGCGAAATCCGATTTTGGAACACATAAGCGCTTATTAACTTTCTATCCCAAAGGAACTAATAATTACTAGTATTAAATTAGTAAATGAGTAAGTAAGTAAGCAAGCAAATAAGTAAGAAAGGCGAAGTGAGTTTTTAACCGTTTGAAGGTCGGTCTTTCGTACACTTTCATGATAGGTCCATTTTCCTCTCCAACCTTTTTTAATGAAGTCAATAGTAGGACGCTGATCTCCATTTCCATACCATCAGCTAGTAGTACCTCATTTTTTAAAGGCAAAGCATACAGCAGCTATGTGGCAAGAATATTGTATAGTCGTCTGTTTCCTTCCCACAGAGTAGTAAATGGGGCTCATACCCGGAACCTCTCAGTTCTGAGTCCGACGCTCTACCGACTGAGCAGCCGCAGTGTAAACAAATATGCAATTTTTTAGTAAATAAACTAGTAGGTAAGTAATTTGATTAATAATCAGTAAGTAATTCAGTCAAAAAGTAGGGAAATTAGTAAATAAGGGAACGTGGGCAAGTGAAAGATGATGCGTGTGCAAATAGATAAGAAGGTGACGAGTTAAAAAGTTATTAGACAAGGAAAATAAATGAATATCTATTTAAGAAAGTGAGTAATGTAATAGGTAGACGTATAAACCTTGGTAAGCAAGAAAGATGGCAATAGGTCAGTAAGAAAGTGAGAACGTAACTATGTTAAAAATTAAATAAATAAATGCGTAAAAAATTAAGTGACTAAAACATGAGATCGCAGAGTATGCGAGTGTTTAAGTATGGACAGCAATTAGTTAAATAAGTAAGCGATGAGTGATTAACTGGTTAAGTAAATAAGTATTCCTTAAGTTGCCGATTAAATAAATCTGTTATTTATAGTCACCGAAGACGTCAGCACGGAACAGTAGTGAATGTTATGTACGAGTGGTGACCGCGAACCTCTGCGTTCAGGTTAGCAGTCGGATAAATTTTCTACTAGATCGATTTTACATTAGCAAAGCAACTATCCATTTTTCCACGCTTCTTCGTTAGCCGACCCATTCAGGATTTTGCGTAAGCCTAGATCGCTGCCACGGCACGGCTACTGTAGGAACCAAACTTCACCCATATGATCCATGAAATACAATGTCTTTTTACTATTTGCCCTTCTCTCGAGAGGCGACGTGAAGAAGTTGCATTTATGTGACGGTAGACCTCATTCTGTGGTTACAAGAAGAGTTTCTACGGTTCTTAATGGTCCTTTATTCATCTGTTTTTCAGAGGTGGCACGAAGCTCTGAATGACTCTCGATTCTTCTCCGCTTCATGTCATTTCGATATTACCTTTCGTTTATTTTTATTACTGTGGCTTTCACTGGTATAACTATGAGCAGTATTCTTGATAGGGCTTAGAACTGCCTCCATCGCACATCTCTTCGAAAGTTTTTATTAATTTTGTTCTTGGTAAGATAACAGACTATGATACTTGTAAAATTAGGTTCCTTTTACCTCTCGCTTAGAGGATGTATTTGCCAGTGTTCACTTTGGCACTCACTCTTCTGAATTTGGCTGTTCAGTGTTCAATCCTTGCCTGGTAAATGTTTGTGCTTTCTTGCGCCATTGTTGGTTAGGCTGTCGGATGGCAAAATGACTGGCACAGACACTGTTTTCTGGTGGCTGTTTTAAATGATATTAAGTTCCGCTGATTTGCATATCATTTGTAAGAGTGTATTCATATTTAGCGAAGAGGAAGAGGAGATCAACGTAGTGGATCTTTCGGATACAGAGGATTGCGCACGCTCAGGTTCGTCGTCGACCTCTGCTGCTTGCCAGCATCCGGCGCTGAATCCAGGCGGCGAGAATTCACCCCTCGACTTGTCTTACAAATCCCAAGGCGCTTCTTCGGCCAAAATTTCTGGTGTGACAGACAAAGCGGTTTTCAGCAGGCCGTCGGTGATCAAGTCTTCAGGTACAGTGACCATTAATTAGTACGAACTGAACCCATATGATATTTAACACTTCCGATTGTTGCAGATGCGAAATTCGATTCGGAAGAACTGCCAGACGTTGAAGAGCATTTTCGTAAATCTCTGGGTCCCAACCCGAAGGTATTCACTGAAGCCGAGGCTAAAGGTATTTTTCCTCAATTAAAAACAAAATAACTTTGGTCTACTTTTTTTCCGTAACATTTATGCATTCAGTTATTTCGAGCTTCATTTGTATAGGAGTAAGAAGTTTTATCGTCTCTTTTACAGAGTCGACATGATGACATTTCCCATTCGGATGCTATTTTCGTATGTTCTACTCATTTTCTGATGTTGGTGGTCAGGTAGCTCTCTTATCTTCACTCGTCCTTTTTGACCGCTGGTCTTCATGTTCTGTTAAAAGGACGGCAAAGATGCATGTTTTGGCAACCGAAATGTGCTGAATTTTCTGAGAATTATTTTATTCTGACGGCAAGAAGGTTCATCTATCCAAGGGAAAGATCCAGTTCGTCGTCTACTAGGAACAAAAGGATAGTAACATCATCTCTTTGGATATATTAATATACAAGGAAAACACGTAGACAAAGAATTACAGTATACAAGGAAGCAACCCGTCCTATACGCTGCTTCATATTCGAATTCCACACCCTTATGTCCATAAAACGAATTAGCG